CTTGAACTCATTATGCTGATTCTTGGCCCCAGAAAGAATTTAGGATTTTTTAAAAAATGTTTTCCCCTTGTTTGGTGCTAGTGGGTAGGCTAGTGTTTTAGTGGATATCCTGTGTAGACGGGCTGGGCAGGAACTTGACTCTCAGTTCTATGAGAACAAATGAATGAGTGGAAGAAAGAAGGAAGGAAGGAAGGAGATGTTCTGAGTCAGCTAGAAAGACCATACAAAGCAGAGATGGGAAGGAGGGAAGTGGGGGAATGAAAAGGATGGGTTTTTGACTTGTAGTCTTTTAGTTCTTTTACCTTAAAAAAGTTACTTTTATCCTGCCTTTATTACTTTATTATTTAAGGAATATAGTATTGGTTGGCCTATGTATATCTTTAAAATTTACATAAAATTGTTCAGTGAACTTCATTCTGGTTTGTTGTTGTTGAATAATATGGTTTTGAAGAAATTGAGTTACCTTTAATAGTTCTCTGGGCCTGGAGTTCCTTCCCTAGATAGACATGTCACGGATATTCCTGTGTATTGACAGCAGTGTGGAGTTTTTGTTTATCCCATTTAAAGTGAGACTGTGTCTGGCTCCAGAGGTTTATATTCTGTTTTCTAATAGCTTCCTCTATGAGTTTGGTAGGCTACATGATATATTCATTCAACAAACCATTTGTTGTATGTTGGTTTGTTTATTTGAGGATAGGGTCTTGTGTTGCCAAACTCATCTGGTGAGAAACTTGAGATCCTCCTGCCATAGCCTCCTGAGCACATGGATTCCAGCCATGTGCTACTTACTGTGCCTGACTCTAACAAATCTTTTTTGTTGTTTTATTTAAAGTCTCAGAGAGACTTTTTTCTTGTTCACTATTCAATGAACAACAAAACAATTCCTGTCCTCATAAAACACTGCAATGGGGGGGGGTTATATAGTACACGTGGATACAGTAAATAAGTTGAGTGATATGTTTAGTGGTACAAGCTATAGTGAAAACTATCAGGAAGGGAGACATGGGGGTGGTGGTGGAAGTGTTGTAAGAAATAGATGCACTTTAAAAGAGGATCATCAGAAAATGCTATCTCAGAAGGAAATCTTTGGGTGCAAAAAAGAGGGGTATGTGACTGTCATGTTAAAGCAGTAGTACAGAAACTAGTGCTCAGCATGGCAAGCGGGGGAGGAGCAGCAGAAGATGAGCAGAGCAGGGGCTCGGCAGGGAAGACCTGCTCTATCAGAGGGCTGGGATTCAGATCCCAGCACCCATGTTGAGCAGCTTGCAAACACCTGGCCTCCATGGACACCCACACACGTATGTACAAACACGCATGTGCACACCCCCCCAAATAATAATAAAATAAAATAAATATTAGAAAAAGAAGAACTGGACAAATGAAGCCGTGAGGGGCAACATGGAGTTTTCTGTTTGGTTGGTTTTGGTCTATTTGAGACAGGGTCTCCCTGTTGTCCCATCTGGCCTGAAACTCACTAAGTAGACCAGCTGGCCTGGATCTCATAGAGATCTGCCTGCCTCTACCCCTGGAGTACTGAGATTAAAGGTGTGCACCACCACACCTGACTTAAACATAGAGCTTTTAAAGGTGGATGCTATGTTGAAAATAAACAGCAAGGAGCACGTGTAGACACATGGAAATAAGTAGTGTAGTGAAACAGCGGAGGCAGTAGTGAAAAGGATGAGAAATGGGTAGTTTGGATATTCACATTTTTTTGATATGTGTGTGCATACATGTGTGCATGCACATGCATGTACCTTAGCATGTGTATGAAGGTCAGAGGACAACTTAAATGAGTAGGCGTTCTCTTTGCATCATGTGGGATTTGGGGGTTGAACTCAGGTTGTCAGGCTTGGTGGTAAGCACCTCTACCCACTGAGTTTTCTCGCCAGCCTGATTTGGGATACATTTTTTGAAAGACGGTGCCATTAGGGGTTTTGTGAGAGTAAGAAATGAGTCATGAATCATAAAGATTTTGGCCTCAACATCTGTGAAGATAGAATTACTTGAACTTAGCTGGAGAATTCTGGCAGGAGATGCAGATTTGAGGTAGGGATGGAGACCTGGAGAGCAGTTTTGCATAGTAAGATCTTAGCGTGTTGTTAGTGATTTCTAACCTTTATGTTCTGAAGCCCAGTGCAGCACCTCCCATATGTTTGCTCAGAGTACTAGCTTCGTGAATTTTAACTTATTTTTTAAAATATTTTATTTTTATTTTATGTGTATGAGTATTTTGTCTGCATGTATGTAAGCGCACCACATACATGCAATCCCCTGCAGAGGCCAGAAGAGGGTGACAGAGCCCCTGGAATTGGAGTTACAGATGGTTGTTAACCTCCATGTGGGTACTAGGACTTGAACCTGGGTCCTCTGGAAGAACAATTGTTCTTAACTGCTGAACCATCTCTCCAGCCCCAAATCCTTACTTTAAATGTACTAGGTTTCACAAAATAAGGTATAAATGTGTGCTATTAGTTTTGCCTTCCTTGGGTTTAAGTTTATTTTAGTGTCTTACTGCTATACAGTATTTCTAATCTGGTCATGGACAATACAAAAGTCCTCAGAGTTGAGGTTTTCTTCCTCTTACGATTTCAAGTAAAGATAACTTTGTCCTCTGTAAGAATAATGAAATGTACTTAAAACTATTTGATACCATTAAATGGAGGAAAATTACAAATGTGGAGAGTATAATGTATTTGCCAGTGTTAACTATTGAAAATATATATATATATATATATATATGTGGGTCCTGCAGCATTGTGGGTCCTGCAACAGGGTGATCCTCTGTGTTCACTAGGGATCCTAATAGGTGCGGATATTTTCTGTACACTCCTTTTTGTTGATTCTTTTGGTTTCAATAAAGAATTAATATTTTGTAGCTCAGTAGAAATTCTCTTGATACAATTTTCAGTAGAGTAATGAAAAATATAAGTAAAAATGTTTCTTAAATTATATTTTTCTTTTATGGTAATCCAAAATGAGTTACATTGGCATATAACTCAGCTGTTTGATTTGTAACAGTGTTTGTTTAAACAAAGAACAGCATTAGCTTTTCAAGTCATGAGCATATATTTAAGTTTATCATACTATTCAAGTTTTTTGTTGTAAGATTTATTTTTTATTTTTAATTATGTGTATTGGTGTTTGGGTATATGCACATGAGTGTATAGGATCCCCTGGTGCTGGAGTTAACAGGTGTGCGTGAGCTGCCCAATGTTTGTGCTAGAAACCAGAACTCAGGTCCTCTGGAAGAGCAGCATGTGTTCTTAACCCCACCAAGCCATCTCTCTAGCTCCTATCTTCCTATTCTTTTAATTAATTAATTAATTAATTTTTTTTTTTCTTTTTGAGACAGGGTTTCCCTGTAGCCTCAGCTGTCCTGGAACTCACTATGTAGACCAGGCTGGCCTCCAACTCACAAAGATCCACCTGCCTCTGCCTCCCAAGTGCTGGGATTAAAGGCGTGAGCCACCACGCCCAGCCCTTTATTTATTATCTTTATTTTATGTGTATGAGTGTATTGCCTGCATGTGTGTGAGTGCACCCATGTCGTGCAATGCCACAGAAGTCAGAAGAGGGCTTTGGATTCCCCTGGAACTGGAGTTAAGGACAGTTCGTAGACACCATGTGGGTGCTGGGAATCAAACCCGGGTCCTCTGCAAGAGCAGTCAGTGCTCTTAACCTTTGAGCCATCTCTCTAGCCCCCTATCTTCCTATTCTTAACGCAAAACAAATTTAACACTAGAATTTTAAACATACCCTGTTCAGAGAAGGAAGGCATGTGATGAAGTGAAACATATTCTAAAACCAGTAGAATTACAGATCAACCTACAGTAGAATAGGAATCTCTGTCCCAAATAGAGAGAAACCCAGGTTCTGAATAATTGGTTCATGTATTTTTTTAAAGATTTATTTACCTCTGTGTGTCTGTGTGGGTGTGTTACTCATTTATGGATGGATGGATGGATGGATGGATGGATGGATGGATGGAGACTGGGTTTCACTATAAAGTTCTGGCTGACCTGGTTCACACTGTGTAGACTAGGTTGGCCTTGAACTCACGAGATCTGCCTACTTCTTCCCCTCAAGTGCTGGGTTAAAGATGTGCACCACCATGCTTTGGTTAATATGTTTTAAGATAAAGATACATTTTATTGTTTCTGTCATTTGTGTTTTTATGTAAGTTGGGCATTCATGCAATAGCTGATATTGAACACATGTTGTGGAACCTTGACAGAAAAAAAAGATGCACTTCTTATCCATACAAGTACATTGTAAGATTGGGAGAGAAATGTAGATAGGAGGGGTTGATGCAGGAGGTGTCAGGCTTTTGAGAGCACAGAGAGGAAGTGCCTGCAAGGTTTCTTGGGGAAGGTTATAGATTCATAGGGGAGCTGAGTGATAAAAAATGAGGAGCTGGCCAGTCAGAAGAAAAGTAGGAAAAGGGAGCTGGGGAGATGGCTCAGTTGTAAAGTGCTTACCTTGCAAGCATTAGGATCTGAGTTTGATACTCAGAACCCATTTTTGTTGTTTTTAAAATGCTAGGCATGGTGGTACACTTAAAATCCCAGTGCTAAGGCAGAGACAGGATGATCTCAGGGGCTTGCTGGGCCAGCCATCCTGCCTAACCTACTTGCTGAACTCCAGGCCAGTGAGAGAGCTTGTCTTACATAAAAGATGAATGGCTCCTGAGGAACAACATTTGAGGTTGTCCTCTGGCCTCCAGACACATGCACACACATGTAGAAAAGAAATGTAGGGGGAAAACCCTGTTCCAGGTGTAATGGAGTGTATGAAAAAAAGCCAAAGTGTGGGGAGCAGCATGCTGTGTGTTAAAGTTTACCATTTGAGCTGTGGTGTGGGAAGAGATGAAGCTAGAAAAGTAAGTCCCACCTACTCGTGAAAGTGCTCAAAGGCCAGGGATAAGTGACTCCAGCTTGATGGTGAACTCTTAACGAGGCTTAAGAAGAGTGATATGGTCAAATTTTTGTCTTAAATAGATCACTTTGCCAGCTGTGTGGAGGATGGATTTGAGGGAGACAAGACTGGAGGCAATAGTCCAGGTGAGAGCTGTTGGGGATCTGAACTAAGGCATTGAAGGAGAGCTGGAGAAAGGGGGTGACCTGAAACTGAATGAAACCGCAGGTCAAAGGGGTTTCCCCTGAAAACATGGTAAAAATTTTTTGAATAAAAAGCAAGCAGAGGGAAAGAGACATAAAAGAAAAATGTTGCATGACAGATTGTTTGCCTTGACAAATGGCCACTTAAAACAGCCCTTTGGATCAAGAAAATTGCTATTAAAACAGTGTATTTTTTGTATAACCAAACTGAGGTTTGGGAGTCAGGTGCTCCAACAAAAATGAGATGGGACTGTCTTTCTGCACAGTATAAATGAATTCAGGAGCTGGAAGGCCTTGAGGAAGAAACAGGTCTTACAAGACCTCAACTAGTATACATGACAGGAACTCTAAATATATAGATGGTAGTATTTTCTAGAAGTTCTGATTAAATTATTAATAATTTTTAAAAATCTGCCCAGGAAGAGAAATTAGAGTTAAAAAATAATTAGAACAGTGAATAGTTGTAAGCTACTGTAATATTAAAAAGTTATTTTGGAATGCTAGCAGTATCTGTATTAAACCAAATATTAAGCATATTTCTTTACCTTTCCCTTATTTACTTGCCTTTTTCGAGATAGAACTTAAGCTGATCTTAGACGCTCGTCCTCCTGCCCTCTGCCTCCTGAGTGGTAGGGTTGCAGGTGTAAGCCACCATACCTGACTCAATAAGTTTCTGCTATTTAACAGAGAACTTTAGGATTATTTTGCTAGAAGCACAATTTCTGTATATTTATTTGTAAATAGAAAATCTTGATTTATGAAGTATTTACATATTTATGGAAAAACTTTCTTACAGTTTGCTTTATATGGAGAACATAAAAGAAGGGAGGTAGGAGGATTTACTAAATTTCCTTAAGGTCATCACCAAGTGTGGGAGTATTCCTGTAACCCTAGCACTTGAGGTTGAGGCAAGAGATTCAGGAGTTCAAGGATCATCCTTTGCAGTATAGCAATTGTGAATTTGAGGCCAGTGTGGACCACCAGTAAACATTTTTTCTAAAATTTTTATTTTTCAGCCGGGCATGGTGGTGCATGACTTTAATACCTGCACTCAAGAGGCAGAGGCAGTCAAATTTCTGTGAGTTCAAGGCCAACCTGGTCTACATATTGAGTTCCAGGCCAACTGGAACTATAGAGAGACCCTGTCTCAAAAAGACCAAAAATAAAATAAAATAAATACAATTTTTATTTTTAATTTTTAGAAAACTGTGCCTTTGCTACTCATTTAGGGCTGATGAATAGAAGTAGAAATAGAAATAATCATACATATAAATCCAAACTAAATGCTCATTTTGTGGTCTTTCCTTTGAGTACCTTGTAACATTTTCAGCAAGTTAATTGCTGCCTTACTCTCAATACAATACCTGTTTGCTCATTCTTCTTTTGTATATGTTTTTTGAGACAGGGTCTCATGTAGCCCAGGCCTGTTTGAACTCATTATATAGTGGAGGATGACCTTGAACTCCTAATCCTCCTGCTTCTACCTCCCATGCTGGGTCTATTTGTGTGTTCTTTGTGACTCCCTAGTTTGCAGTGTGGGCCAGCAGCTAGCACACTGCCTGTGTGCTGAATTCAAATGACTTTCAGTTGTGGAACTCACCATGGATTCCTTTCCCTCTTTGTGTCTTGCAGAAGTTTTACACCGCCCCTACGGTTGTGATATTGAATCCCAGGCACTGAATGAAGCCATCAGGTGGAGCTCCAAGGAGAACTTGCTGGGAGCAACTGAGAGTGACCCTAATCTCTTTGTTGCACTTTATGACTTTGTAGCAAGTGGTGATAACACACTAAGCATTACTAAAGGTGAGATTTCTCTGCAACACCCTCTGGCTTCCCAGTTTCTATATTTTACCAATGGCTGGGAAATGAAGAGGCCTATTCTGGCTTCTGCCACTAAAATTAGATAGGTGATTTTGTTCTTAGGCACTTTGGATTTTGGATTCATTCTCTCTTCTTTTCTTTACCTATTTCTGTGATGCTGCTTTAAACAACAACAACAACAAAAACAGCTCTTTTTCAGGATTTAATAAGGATAAAATGAGTTAAAGCACCTTGAAAAAGTCCATATTCCTATAATTTTGCACTATATGAAATATAGTCACATATCTATTTAAATGGAACAGTGACTGAGATATGCCACAGTGCCAGGCCCCCCACACCCACCCTCACTACTCAGATTTGTTGCCTGTGGACTGCCTGCCTACCTGGAAACTGTTACCACAATGAGATTAAGAATTTATAAGCCAGCTGTATGTCTTACATACTCTACTATTTAATTTGGCTAATATTTTCTTTCTCTTTTTTTCATCACTATGTAACCCTGACTGGCCTGGAACTCACTGTGTAGACCAGACTAGCCTCAAACTCCTCAGACCTTTGATTTGTAAGGTTTAGAACAAAATATGTAGTGGGAATGTTATATTAAATCAAGATGACAGGCCTCCCCTGACTGGCCCTCTGAAAGAGCAATACTTGCTCTTAACATCCGAGCCATTTCTCCAGTCCCTGGAAAAATGTTTTTATATAACATTTTTATAAATGCCCCCTACCCTGCAGTGCTGAGGATCACAGTTTGGAACCCCATACATGCTAATCAAGTGTTCTACTATTAAGCTAGAACCCCAGACCTTATACATCAATTTTTAAACCAGTCAGATTCACTAAAAGCAGAAATCCTTAAGACCAGTTTTCTCAGACCGAGGTGTAGGCGTGTCCCAGCGTGGGTGTGAATGCTCACATACCTGTCCTTGCAGTGTTCAGAGGCATACATAGGCAGAGTGAAAATGCATGAGCTGGTAGAATCAACTTTAAGGTTTGGGGTAGTATTGGGGCAGATGTTGAAATATGTATGTAGGTAGAGGTTGTGACCGTGCACTTAGAGGGAATTTAGTTTGAAGCTAAAACAAAGGACTTCAGGACATCTTCTGGATGGTAGTCCTGTGCACAGCAGTGTTCTTTTTACCTCTAATGATAATTCAGTGGAGAAATTTGCAAAGCCGTGATTAAGAACATTCTTGGCTAGGTATAATTTTCTTGTCAGCATTTTCCAAGGTAGCTCCGTTACCAAGGAGACACTGATAAAGTCTGGTAATTTCTCAATTATTAGTTATAGCAACTGCTAGTTTGCTGATCAAGGACTGGAAGTCCCTTTCTCTCATGACCAACAGTAGTTTCTCTTTAAAAACCATGAAATGCCTGATTTTTATATCGGGGTCTTATTAATAAAAAGTCCTGTCACGATAAGCTGTACTTTTATTATTTGAAGCAGGGTTTCATGTCTTGAGCTTGGTATAAAGCTGACTGGCCTTAAACACCTGATCCTCCTGCCTTTATGTCCCAAGTGCTGAGTTTATTATTATTGAAGAAAAGAAAATAACTTCTTAAAGGAAAATAGCACTTATTTTAGTTCTTCTTTTGAACATGATATTTTGCTTGAATTAAAAAGAAATAAAGTTTGGGGCTGGAGAGATGACTCAGAGTTAAGAGCATTGACTGTTCTTGCAGAGGACCCAGGTTCAGTTCCCAGCACCCATGTGGCAGCTAACAGCCGTCCGTAATCCTAGTTCCAGGGGATTCAATACCTTCTTCTGACCTCCATGGGCATTGCACAACATGGTGCACTTACATGTAGGCAATGTACACATAATAATAAAATCAATAAAATATATATTTAAAAAAAATGTTACCCGCATGGTGGTATACACCTTTAATCCCAGCACTCAAGAGGCCAAGGCAGGCAGATCTCTGTGAGTTCTAGGGCTACATAGTGAGACCTCATCTCAAAAAAGAAAGACAAAAATTTGTGTTGGTTATGGTAGCTTTCACCTGTAATCCTAGCATCTGGGGGTGCTGAAGCAGAATTGCTGGGAGTTCAAGGCTAGCCTGGACTACATAGTGAGTTCTAGGATGACCTGATCTAGAGTGAGACTTTGTCTCCAAAAAAAAAAAAAAAGGTTTTATAGAAAGTGTTGTGTGCCTGTAATCATGGCCACAGTGGGAGGTTGAAACAGGTGGATGGCTTGAAACCTGGGATTTAAAACTTAACCTTGAACAACCGAGTCAACCCCCCTGCAAAATAAAAAAGAAAGTACTAAGATTCCTATACTGATAGACTCAATACCTACTTTCCTATCAATAGAAAATTCTCCTAATTACTAAAAAGAGGAAAACAAAACAAAACCAAAAACCTAGGGTCTAGTTAATTTAAATGACCTATAATTACCAGTTCTATCACTTATTTATTTTATTTGTGAGTGTTTTGCCTGCATGTATGTAAATGTACCTGTGTTGTACAATGCTTGCAAGACCAGAAGAGGGTGTTAGACCCCCTGAAACTGGAGTTATGGACAGTTGTTAGCCACTATGTGGATGCTGGGAACCAAACCCTGGTCCTCTATAAGAACAACAAGTGCTCTTAACCACTGAGCCATCTCTCCAGCCCTACCAGTTCTGTTTAAAGAAGCAAATGTCAGCACACACAAATAAGTTAGTCTTTACTTTTTGGACTAATAGAGGAAAGTTATAGAGAAACAAGCTTTCCTGCAAGGTCCTTTCTTTTGTACCTGTAGTGAGCTACTGTATATCTGCATATCCATCACGGCAGCAGACACTCATCTCTTCTCTGTCTGTATGCAGTATGAAATGCATACACATATGTGTGATCCTGTACATGCTCTTAGTGCCTTTTCTCCTATCCCAGTGTCTTAGGTGAGACAGTAGGGCTAATAGAAAGTTAACCTATGGTAATCATCTCCGTAGGCTACAGGAAATAGAGATGGCTATCAGAATTACTTTGAATTTTTTCTCAACAGCTTTGGTATGGTACTTCTGGGTCCTGTGCTATATTGACTGATCTGATATCCTTCTACACTCTATGACTCTAAGGTAGCAGTTGTGAACTCTATAGAAAGGAGATGAGTGCCTCGGGCCCTACCAGGAGTGTTTAGCTTAACATTTACATTACTAATAACATCTCTTTCACCTTCCCTGTTTTGCTAAAGAAACTTTTAATCTGCTGCAAGTATGGAGCAATATATATATGTGTGTGTGTATGTGTGTGTGTATATATATATACATATAAATATATATTGAAGCTTAAACTTGATGTTTACATTTTTGTAGAGAAATCAAGGGCGTTGAAGTTGAGACAGATACAGACTGAGTGATTTGCGTTTTCAAGTCTAACTTCAGAGCTAGCTTTAGTTTCCACAGACTGATTTTAGAGGAATGGATAAAAGTGATTCATTTTTTATGGGAAACAAGGAGGAAATTGAGAAACTAGCTTTTAAACCATGAGTCCAGAAAACACTTGTACTTTGGGAGTTCTCACCAGCCCCTCCCTGTTCCTCTAAACAATTTTCTTGCTGAAAATGCTTCCTCTGACTGGGGTGAGTGTGTTGTGTTGTGTGTGTGTGTGTGTGTGTTTGCTTACATTGATGGTTTTGTTGCCCTGGTATTACTTGAAAATTACTTTTTTTTTTTTTTT